GACTCACAGTACGAGTCTGTTCGGAAGATGGGAGGCATCTTTGGACAAGATGTCCTTCGCAGCTTGGCGGCGGCGACGCCTGCCGAGCAACAAGAACGCGTGACCGCGTTTGAGACCTACGAGCGTGGTCTCATCGCTCACGTCCGCGGGAGCTTGGAGGCTACTATGGCCGCTCCCCAGGCAACCAGGCCTAAGCCGGTGTGGCTGAAGGTCCCCGCGTTTGAGGGGAAGGAAGGAGAGAATCTTCACTTCTGAGTCCGTGAGGTGGAGATCGCCATGAAGGCGGGTCTCATCTCGGACGAGCCAGTTCGGGTGGCTTCTGCCCTGTCCAACCTCGGTGGACGTGCCAGGCACTGGGCATACACCAGGGAGACGTCATCTCCTGGATGCTTTGCATCCTGGGGCTCAGCTGTGTGAGCAGCTTCGAGCCGCGTTCCTACCGGCGAACGACGAGTTCCGCCAGCGCTCACGCTTTCTCGCGTGTAAGCAAGGTAAACGTGAGCTGCAGGAGTACGCGCAAGAGATGCGCACGTTGGTGGCATCTCTGGCAGGAAATCTTCTGCCTGAAGACATTAAGACAACAGTCTTCATGGACGGCCTGAAGGTCGGTCCCTACTCGCACCCAGCTATTCCGGGTGCAAGCGACAACTATGGAGGAGGCGATTCGAATCGCCCTCCAAGAAGAGTACAGCCACAAGCAGGCTGGTACTCTTCGGGAAGAGGAGCATCACCACGATGAGAATGGCGTTCTTCGGGAGGCGGAGCATCGCAGCAATGACGCTGTTCTCCTGCTGTCACGCAGCCCGTTGATACCGGTGCGTACAACGAGCCCGAGCCCATGGACTTAAGCTCAGCCGAGAGCTTGGTCCGCTGCTATGGATGCGGCGGACATGGACACTACCAGCGTGTGTGTCCCTCGCTAGTCCTCGGGAAGAAGACGGCCCGTGGGCCCCAAGTCCGGTGGCGCAGGCCACGGTCAGGTGGACGAAGACTCCACGGCCACCAGTAGAGGCAGTATGCTCTACTGAAGAGCGCTAAGCCTTCGTGATGGGTGTGCAGGTTGTGCGCACCACGGGACTTAGCCCAGAGAGACGTGGTTCTCTCAAACCGGTGAAGGGCAGTGATGGGCTGCTGGTAGTACACTCGGTGTACGGGGGTACGGTACCCCTTGAGCGTTTGATGAGTTCTGGGGCGTTGATACGCCGCCGGAACGTCGCTTGACATAGCGACATAGCGACATCCGACTGCACTCTATGTCAGAGTGGCGGTCGTGGGCTGGTCCTTGGTGGACTAGCCTTTGGTACGGTAGTATCAATGGTCCTCAACGGACCTGAACGTTTCGGCTCGATGAGCTCGCGCACCGCGGTGTCGCTCGCAGTTCTCGCCATGAACAACATGGCTAAGCCGAACATAAGGCACAGCCCGGACTTTGGTGTGGCAAGGCTAAGAAGGGCCTACCAGTCCAGGTCTATGACGGAGCATTGGTGAGTCATGTTCCCACCTCCGTCATGACTGGGGCGTCTGATACAGACCGCAGAAGCGTCACGGAGCTGTCAACGCGCCAACAGCTCTGCGTACAGCAAGACCATGCTATCCTGCGACAATGCCACGGGCATGGGTCTTTTGCCCGGCGTGTGGACCTGCTACACCATCAGCGTCCAACGCCAAAGGTCGTCGCGCCGTACGGGCTTCGACAGTGGTTATGCCTTTAAGCGCTAACCAGGTGGGTAACTTAGAACCACACGGTCGCCCAGACCTTAGCTGAAGAGGAAGGCGCTGAATGCGCTTCCTGTGGGGATAACACAGTACCACACGCAGTCGCCCAGACTATAACTGAAGAGGAAGGCATTGTCCATGCTTCCTGTGTGGGTAACACAGTGCCACACGAGGTCTCGAGTGCCTTTGATGTCGTCAACGAGACATCACGACGTGGGTAACAAAGTGCCACGTCACGTCAGCCGCCGCAAGTCGGGTCTGAACCTTGTTCAGGCCGCCGTCGCTTCAAGCGACGCGGAGTCCAGGGCCCAGACTCCTCTGACTCGGTCGGTGGACACCAACACTGTCCGGTGTGTGTGCGGGTCTGCCACACCAGCCGATCCCAACACCGAAGGTCGTCGCGCCGTATGCGCTTCGACAGTGGTGGTGCCGAAGAGCATTCACCAGGTGGGTAACATAGGTCCACACTGCGGGTAACAAGTTCCGCAAGCAGCGAAGCTGCTTAAAGAAGACCGACATTCGGTGCTCCGAGCGTGGGTAACAAAGTTCCACGCAAGGTCACTCAGACTATATCTGATAAGGAAGTCGCTGTATGCGCTTCCGGTGTGGGTAACAGAGGTCCACACCCAAGGCGAGTACCATAGCGCCGCACACAGAGCCATTGGCTCGAGGCGCGAGGTTGTCTCGGCCTCGCCAGACGTGAGCAACTCGCTCGACGTCAAGTCGAGCAGACTCAAACTGCCGACGCGAAGGCTGAATGCCTTCGGTCGACACGGCCGACGCGGTCGACCATACCGACGCAGTGCACATGGCGGAGAGCCGTTGCGCCTGCCAGTGGCTATTAGAAACCACGCGAGACTCAGTAGTCTCGAGGTTAAGTGGGGGAGAGGCTCGGAAACACCTTTCCTCCCTGACTTTCCAAGAGGCAAGTAGCCGTCGTGCTGCCAGTGACTATCACAAGCCACGAGAGACTCAATAGTCTCGAGTGTAAGTGGGGGAGAGGCTCGGAAATACCTTTCCTCCCTGGTCTTGAGGTAAGACCAAGTTCCTTACGGAACCAGGCGTCGATGTACATCGACTGCAGGCTGGAGGCGAACAGCCGGGCTAGAGCTGCGGTAGCTCTAGCCGAACAGGACATAGTGGCGAAGAAAGCCACTGACGCAAGGTGCCTCGGAATCGCTGAGCGAATCAGCAGTGTTGGGGTTGCAAGCAATCACACACGAGGCGAAGCGCGGGCCTAGTGCAATCAACGCACTGGTCCCTTGGTCATGAACGACCTGTCGAGTAGGGTGAACGGAACGTCTCACCCGCCGACAAAGCGGTTGCGGTGCGTGATGTACGCAACGCGCCGGGTATAATGGGCCGTGGAGCCATAACCCAAGTGTGGTGCACGAGTGCACACACAACTGACCGGGTGGTGGTCGAGGCAACGCACGCAGTCGTAGCTGGTGCCGCGCCGAGCATGACACCGTGGTGATGGCTGCTTGCCTCACCATAGGTTGGTACCCGTGAGTACTCGGTGTCAATGCCAGACACCAATGCCGCAGTGGCATAGTGGTGTGATGTGCCCCACCACGGTCGAGTACCATCAAGGTACATGGAGTCTGTTACAGAGTATAGGTGCAAAGGATGTGCACCATACCACGACCCGATGCGCTCTGGACGCTGTGAGTCAACGCACGTACCGTTCATCGGCACTGGCTGCTGTCGAGCAGCCTGCCAGGAGCTCCACGTAACGAAATCGTCGTGCATGACACACATGACGTGCACGGAGCACTTATGGTAGCTGTGGTACGTGTCGTACACAGCGTACCTCGTGTACGGGCCCATGGACCTGTACACTGTGCTTGCACATGCGTCGTGCATGATGCGAGCACTGGCCATGAATCTGTTCAGGCGACAGCACAGCAGAAGCTGTTGCCGCCAAACATGGCAGCCTTGTGGTGGGCGTACCGCACCAAAGGTTAGTACCGTACGGTACATGGTGTCGATGGGAGACACCTACACCATGATTGTGTACCGTCACGGTACACGGTGTCGATGAAGGACACCTACGCGCCGTTGGTATGGTGACCAAGACGTGAAGAGAGCGTGGCAGAAGCTCCGCCCGTAAGGATGGATCCTTGATGGAGCCAAAGGCATGGCCCGAGGTGAGCTGAGAGCTCCCTCTAGTGCTGGGGAAGGTGTTGCCCTTCTCGGTGTCGTCCCTCGCGGGAGACACCATGCTCCGGACGCGTTCGCGAGGACTGTCGTGTCCTCTGGTGCGAGCTGTGGGCGAATGCCACACGTTCGGATGCTATTGCACCCTGTGCCAAAGCACTGTACGCGCGCTAGCGCAGGAGCTAAGGCAGCTCTGAGTGTAGGCTTTGCGGCCAACACAGTTGTGAGCATAGGGATGCAAATCCCAGTGAGCTTTGGCAGCACAAGTCACTGTGGGTGTGACTGAGAGCCGCGCCAGTCTCGTGGCTGCTCAGTGTGAGAATTCACCTTTTGGTGTTTTAATTCTCTCACCTCTGATTGGAGAACCAGTTGTGATTAGAGAATCAGGTGATTTTCAGTTAAGTGCGGGAGGATGTAACGGGGTACAGCTCCATGTTACATAAAGAGTGACCCGTCACTCTAGTGGACACCTGGTACACGGTACCAGGTGCTCTCGGAGCCAGTCAGTGCATGACTACTTAGCTCCACTATAGGTAACCTCTAGTTTGTAAGAGACCCAAGCTTATCTTACTTATAGATACATCAGTCTTAAATCTACTCCTCTAAGTAGCAAACCGTTCCCACTGAGGCCGGGAACACGTGGACTTACGTTCACTCGGGTAGTTAATACCCTTAAGCACTTCCTCTGTGCAAGGTGCTGTGTGACCCCGTCACACTAACCCCAACACCTTGACATTAAAAGGGTAAAAACTAGGACCAAAAGTTAGCGCCTTGGCTTGGCTGCAGTGCCATCATTTACACGGTCTCCTTTCATGAACATGAAGCCTTTAAAACGACTTTAATCCGGGGTATGCTCATCCTGATGTCTACCGCTCTCCAGAATGGACACTCAAGTGTGTCACTAATAACAAATCATATATGTGTTTTGTCCTTGATTCTCACAGTTAAACTTGAGTTCAATATGAGGATAAGATCTGTTATATCTTATATTTCGCACTTAAGCTGGAGCACGGCACCCTCCTTACAAACCCTAAGTCATTCCTTGTCCAATTCCTTTTTTCTAGGACAAAAAATGTTGGGCCAAAATCAGTTTTTGCTGATCGGTCCACTTTTACTGAAATCATCAGATGGATACGTTCCTGCAGCTGGATGCCGCCGGCGGCGTATACGACGACGACCTGGTGGTGGGTGAGCCCGTAGACTTGGAGACGCAGATCCAGCGCCACATTGTCGAAACGAGTCAAGCCGATGCGCTCTTCGGTGAGCAGCTCTACCGTCCAGTGGGAGGGGAAGCGGGTGATAACGATGAAAAGGGCGACGAGCAGTTGAGCGCCGCCGAGTCGGACGAGTTGGAGCGACAGCGCTATCTGCAGCGCGTTCTATTGATTGAGAAGGGGATGCAAGATGCAGACAATGAGGTGCAGCAACGAATCGACACCATGAAGCGCATCGTAGGGCTCGAAGACCCCATGGCGCAGCTGTATGAGTATCTGACGCTCAAACAGGAAGCCCGACGAGAAGATGGCGTGGACATTGTGAGGGATCTGATACTTTGTGCCAACCGCATGACAAACGAGGAAGACAGCGAAGTGGCCATGTTGGGAGCGTTCTTCTTTCTGTGCGACAAACAGCAACCCAGGACGCGAGGAATGGCAGCCATGTTGCCGGTTGCAGCGGCGATGATGGAGGCATCCAACGGAATTGACCACTCGCCATTCTAATATGCACGATTTGTGTTATTATTTGATTTATGGGCAACTTAGGTCCCCCACTGGAAGAACTCGCATTGGCTGTCTTGTGGGTTTGGACACTTGAAAAAGGCCCGACCTTTGTTAACTCCACTTTTACACGTGAGCCGGATGCCAGGCAACTTGCACTCACACATTGGAGTCTCGCTATCTCCTCTATCAGCCGTAGAAGGCGACATCTCGGCCATCCACTCGACGAAGCCGCAGGTATCTGGTGCCTGGAAGCTGCAGGCATAGAACTCGCGGTACTGGTTTGGACCTGGCTTTCGAGTTTTACGCACAGCGCAAAGGGTATTATGCCCAGAGCACTTGGGTGCACTTGATGTACCAGCATCGCCTCTTGCAGCCGACGCTTGAGCTGATCCACTGGGAGTGTCCGTAACCTCATCCTTCCACAGAAAAAAACCGCAGCTGTTATCCGTTTGGCCGCGTCGGCAGATATAAAACTGTCGACCTTTGTTTGGGCCATCCTTCTTCACAGTTCTCTCGGCGCAAGGTTCATTATGACCAGGACACTTGACTATGGGCGCGTTCGAGTCGGATACCCAAGCAAAGAAGTCGCACTGCTCACCTTGAGGCAGCGAACACTTGTAGAACATCCGCCCGGTATTGGGACCGTCACGAGTGACTTCTTTCTCCACACAAGGCAAGCCGTGGTCATCGCACCGGGGTATATCTGAGGTCAGACTCGGAGCGCGGAGTATTCGACGCTGCGCCTGCGCTGAATTATCTGTAGGCCGTGATGGAAGTCGCTGACGCTTTCGCCGTCGGTCTCGAATTACACTGCCAGCTCCTGTACTCGATGAACTGTCAGGGTTGGAGGCTCGAGATCTCGTGGCTGCGCGATGAGACTGCCGTGGTTCTATGTCAACGGGAGTCCGTGGCCTTGCTTCTCCCCTGGGCGGCATCCTAAAGTCGGCAGTATCGTAAACGGGTTGGCCGAATTGTTCCGAGAAAGTCTGGTCTAGCACAGTAGCGCTACGTGTGACCTCAAGGAAAATGCCTTTCATCTGCGAAGATAGTTGTCAGGACAGCACAAGGCAGAGACAAGAAGACGCTTAAGAAGGCTGTACCTGAGCCATACACGAGTCGACCACTTGCCGGAGTGCCTTCTGTCCTAGCGAAATCGCTTTGCAGTCATTCTCCATCTGAAACGTTCAAGCACAAGCAATGAGATTCAAGTCGATACAGGCAACATCCCCTTCACGATCAAACTCACCGCAGCACGAAGAACTGGTTTTGCCAGCTCGAGGCCCATGTGCTCGTATGATAGAACTAATGCCAACCCCAGAGTTGTGGGCTTAAACTGGGTTTCGTTATTCACCTTGATAGCGTACTCACGCTTGAGAATGGTCTTGATGTGCTCAGCAATCGTGGCGTCTGTGCCAATGCCGTTTGAATCCATCTTTGCGATCAAATCTGCCTCCGATAAAAGCGGTGGCGGGTTTGTGTCTCCTGAGAGCATCACAAGCGTCGACGGGCGGAACACATCGCCGTGTTTATAAACAGGAATCGCAGACGCATTCCATTTCTCGTACTTGTAGATATCCAAGTAATTCCGTTCCTCCACCATCAATCCAGACGCAATGAACCTCTCATTTAACATCGCCATCACGACACTAGTCTGGCTGCCCTTGGCATCGCGACTACAACACGCCAGGAAATGGAGAGAGACAAACTCGTACACTTTCTTTTCGTCTGGGTCTGGCAACGTATTTAGGTCAACACTCTTGGTTGGGTGAATGGGAGGGTGTGCCTGATCATCAGAATTCCCGTGGCGAGGAGCTTCGTACTTTCCTCCGTCAAGCAGCTGCCGTGTCACGTAGTTCCCCCACTGTTGATGAGTTTCATGAGCCCGAACCAAACTCATCAGGTCGGTGCCTTCTTTGAATTTGCTGGTCTCCGTACGTGGATAGCTGATCAAGCCCTTATTGTACAGACTTTCTGCCGCTTTCATGGTTGCCTCCGACGAGATCCGTAGCCAACGTGAAGCTCGTTTTTGCAGCTCCACCGTGGTAAGCGGCAACGGCTTCCTCTTCCAAGAAGGTCGCTTGTCTACAGACTCGATCGCTGCCGTTTGACTCTCCACTAGAGACTCGTAGATACACAAGCACGCCATGCGGTCGAAAAAATGCCCACGCTTCCACTTGAACGTCGTCGTGGGTGCGTCTGGTTGATCGGTTTGCTGATGTGTGACGCTGATGTAATAGAACGCCTCTCGTTCAAAGTTCCTAATCTTAAGAAATCGTTCCACCACAAAACCAAGTGTAGGGAACTGGCAAGGTCCATAGCTAATAACGTTTTTCTCCTGATTTAGTGCTGGGAATCTGCTCTGGATGCGCATCGTCTGGAACCTCGTAAATGCAGCGCCGATTCTTAAATCGATCTCGGATCGAGCATCGACTGCCAATGAAAGTTTTTCATTGGGCTGCGATAAATTCTGCACTGCGTGGACGATGTCGCGGGGAATAAGCGCCGAGAACCTGGCGCGAAACACGCGTAGCCTGCTATTGGTCTTTTCGCAAATACTTTTAACCTCGTAGGCGATATTCTCGCCCTCTCGATCACAATCCAACCACAGCACGAGCCACTGCAAGCGAAGATCAGTCAAAGTCAGTTAGATAGAATTACTTATAAGCACAGATAAATGGCGCACTTGACTGTGCTTGGCCTCCTCCATCAGCGTCTTTTCAATCTTTTTCTGGGTCTCATCGCTGCGTATCTTCTTGGTCACTGGCGCCGTAAAGAGGTCCACGGGATCGCATGAGTGCCAACTTCTGACACTCGCGTCAAAGTCCAGCTCCATGATATGGCCTGTGACGGATGTAACGACCATTTGCACCTGCTGCCCTCGGACCTGGTACGGGAACTCAAAGAGCGCATTGTATTTGGAAAAACCGGCGCGCTGGCAACACACGCAATGGAGACTAGGTTAGCGAAAGCACCCAAGAGAAGTAGAGAAATGAGCGCACATCACACACACACGATGAGAGCGGCCTGAGGACAGGATATTGGCGATCTCCTTGGCCACCGATGGCTTTTCCGCCACATTGAGCACCTTCATGCAGGCACCTCCAAAATGTAGGTTTGGGATTGGCTTAAAAAAATAACCCCAGTCTCTTTAGGATTCCCCAAGATGAGCGGCTTCCTGAACGTGCGAAAGCCAGCCGGGCTCACGTCGCATCGGTGCGTTGGAGTCATGCGCCGAGTGCTGGACACGCGACAGGTTGGACATGGTGGTACATTGGACCCGATGGCCACGGGCGTCCTCATGCTGGCAGTGGGTCGGGCCACACGCTTCTTGCAATACTTGACGACGGGTAAGGAGTACAGGGGCGCGATCCGACTGGGCATCACCACGGACTCGGACGACATCACGGGTGATGTTCGGACACAGTTACCAGCACCGTGGATCAGTGAGGAGATGGTGAACATGACGCTGCAGAGGTGAGAGGACGGAGTACACAAAGAGGAAAGTCTGGATGTGGTGTTGTGACCGGTGGAACTTACTGCTGGCTGCAGGTTTATTGGGGAGATCGACCAGGTGCCCCCGCGTGTCAGCGCCATCAAAAAGAATGGCGTGAGGCTGTACAAATTAGCGAGAGCAAAGAAAGTAAGATTGTGTTGCGGTCTAACATATAGTGGGGCAGATGGGAAACTTGACGGAAAGGATACTGTGGTACCACGCAGGATTTTGACGTCAAGCCGAGACGGGTGTGTATTAAGAAGATCGACGTGCAAAGCTTTACACAAGGAGATTTTCCAGAGGTTGGTCGATGGTTGTGGAATGCTGGTGGGTGGTAGGTGAAACTAATAGGTTGCCGACTTGATGCTAGGTGGGTATCCGTGTCGTCTGTGGAGGAGGCACATACATCCGATCGATCGCCCGGGAATGCGGTGAGGCACTAATTGTGCCCCCCGAGTACCTGGACTCGACGTGCAAATTGCGCAACTCTGTTGGCGATTTTTGCGTTGGAGGAACGCTGACTGAACTGGAGCGAACTCGAAGTGGGGCTTTTGCCATTGCCGATAGTCTCGACTTCGATGAAATCCGTTCCATGTTAGAGGTACGCATTTGCTACCTTAAACGAAGCAACGACCCGCTCGCAATCTAACGAACTTTACTTCCTTTTCATAACAGCGAGGGGAGTCCCCGCTTCAGCCGATCGAGAACATGCTCCAGCATCTTCCCTCCGCGGAATTACCACTACAAACTGCCCAGTATTGGTTGAATGGTGGCACTGTTACTATCCCAGCGGAAGATATTGAGTTCGTGGACCACAACTACTACAAACTCACCAGCGGCGAGCCCATTCGCATTTACTCATCGTCGACAATGCTTGGCATCGCTCAAGTGGACCCACAACCTCAGTACAAGGAAGTATTTCTCAGAAAGCGTTTATTCATCTAAGAGGTCGGTATTTCTCTTCCTTGAAACCTACTCGAACGTTGATGTGACACTGCGGCTATGCTGCATCAAGTTTTGCAGCCCTGTGGCCATAATCGCCGCGAACATTTCCATATCGATAGACATCCCAGGACCGCCGGACACTGGCGGAGTGGGCTTGTGCTCTTCCTGAAAGTTCTCGTACGCATACGCTGTCGCTCCTGTAGGCTGTACCATGGTTCTAGCTTCGTCAAAATCAGCCATTGATAGAGGGCGCATTGTAGGAACCTCAGGCTGGGAAGCCTCATTGTAAATCTGGGGCTTCTCGTCCTCAACTGTCCGGTTCTTTGCAGCTTCCTCTGCTGCTGCGCGGCAATTGTCGATATGCTCCCGAAGCGGAATCATCAGAGCAGCTCGACACAACTCCTTCAAATCACTGCCACTATAGTACATCGTGTCGTTGGCGAGCTTTACGAAATCAAAATTGTTGTCTACCCCCTCCGTCTTAAGCTGGAGTCGGAGAATCTTCTCACGCTGCGGTCTGTTCGGCAGTCCAATCTCAAACGTGCGCGGCATTCGGCGAAGGAAAGCAGGATCCACATCACCCGGACGATTGGTCGCACCCATAATAATGACACCGAAGCCTCCGTCATTTTCGGTGTTCATTTCAGTGAAACCGTCCCAAAGCGCCAGGAATTCCTGCAGCAAAAACAACAGGTCAAGACAGATTGACACTTTTGGCGCCAAATCAAACGACGCATACCGTTTTCATAGATGAAAATGTCGGGTCCGACACGCCGCCTCGCTTGCCCATGAACGAGTCGACTTCATCGATGAAAATGATGCAAGGTGCCAGTTTCCGAGCCAGCGAGAAAGCTGCCCGCACGAGCTTCTGCGACTCGCCGAACCACTTGCTCATTATCGTACTGATCTTCAGGTCAATGAAGAAGGCACCGGATTCCTTGGCGATGGCCTTGGCCAGCATGGTCTTGCCCGTTCCTGGCTTACCATAGAGCAAAATGCCCTTGGGGGCAGTGAGCAACTTCCCGCGAGAAGCAAAGAACTCAGGGCTCTTAAGCGGGAGTACCACCAGATCATGAATGTCACGCTTCTGTCGCTCCAGGCCGCCGATGTCCTCGAATGACACGTCGATGTCCTGCGGGTCCACAATGTCGCCAGCGATGACATTCTCAAAGTAATTAGTGTTGAACACGCGACGGCCTGTGCGCTTCAGGCGGCTCTGCAGCTTTGCCTGACTATCTTGTCCGTTGCTCCAGTCGTCCATCATGGGTTTCAGTTGCTGCAGCAGCAGCAACAGCCGACAGTGTTATCTTAACGATGTCATGACACGTCAGACACCCTTTGCTTACCTTGTACAGGTACTTGGACGTCTGATACATTGTGTAGAGCATGAGACCGTCCAGGACCATACCCAGCACCTCATCCTTGATGGAGGCAGCGTCGCTATCATTGGACGAGCCCTGGCGCTTGCCGCTGAATATCTCGGAGCTCTTACTAGCGCTGCCGCCCATTGTCAGAATGCGAGTGTTTCTCCAGCTGTGGTGGGGATAACACAATAATTTGTGCTTTGTAGATCCGTTTAATAAAACATAAAACTTTTATAGCCTTGGTCAAGCATAAAGCGTAAAAATGAGATGGGAAGAGGCGTATCAATTTGTTTTATCTGTTAAAGAATAACTAATTCAAAACGGCAAAAAGGGTCGATTTACAGGATATTATAATAATGGATTTGGCGGTTGATCGATCCCGATTTGACTGCGCCAGTCTAGCTAGGTCATTTGTACTTTTTATATACCTCGATTTAATGAAAAGTTTTTATTAAATCGAGGTATTAGACATGAAATCAACTGTGCACCGCTGCAAATTGGTGATTCCTATCCGTATACGCGTCACCGTAGATGGCACGTACACTCGCTCACGTGGGCACACGCAAAACCATGGCATCTGTACCATCAGCTCTTATAGCGGATATTTCACTAATTGGCGCTCACAAATTCAAACTACAGTATTGAGTGGGAGCTACGTGCGACGAATAAGCTGCTGTTGACATAGATACTACCACTGCGTGACAGTGCAGACCGTACAGATGAACGTGGCAAGTCGATGTGTCTGAACGCAATATTGTACTTTAGTGTTCTGTTCATAATGGCCGAGATGAGAGCTCGGTTGAGTCGCGGATGACTATAAGGTGTACCCGCCTCGCGCGTATATATCGCGTTGGCTACTGCTAAGAGACGCGCGTTCAGCATACCTGTATCGCTGCGGAATGGCCTGTGCCCAGTTAGTGACGCGCTGGATTATACAGACCGATACATCAATAGCGTAAGCACAGAAAGCTAGCACGACGACGCACAAGTACCGATAAAGAAACCGTGACCCCATATACATAGGTTGGGCTATCACGAGCGCGAGGCATACACACTCATTAACGGCCTTGCGATTTATGCACGAACAAAACAATTAGCACGCCGAGCTGATAAGTAGGCAGCGAAAGTACTCCTTCTAATGTACATGAACTATTATTCATTTCAAGTCTAACCATCATTACGATCTGATACTCTGCCTACAGCCATATATCTTCGTATGTTTGTCGTACATGTCGGACCCAGTAAATGCCACTCGGAAAGAATCTACGCCACTCTGTCAGTCAGTAGCTATGCAAATAAGTCAGTAAGTGCGTCAACTATGCGAGTAAGATCAATGCATGCGAAAGATAGTGGAAAGACCCTTCAGTAATATCACAAACAGTTCTGCAGAATAATAATTTCCAAAGCATAATGTTGGTGTTTGTGGCGACCATCGGCAAATACTACCTATCCTATAAAATATTTCGCGCGTGGGGCTGACTAAACCTTGCTCTAATAGACCGTCGCAAGCAATGATAAGGTGTCGGCTGCCTCACGACGATGACGTGCAGATGGGTAATGTGTTTGAGTAGGATATTTACTCCAGCTACACTTGAATTCCTCAACGATGTATGCCAATTTCGAAGCATCATCGGTACTGACCCGTCTTCTGAACGGCATATTTTACATTTGCAAACTCGAGCGCCCCCGATTGGTGTCATTTTGGGAGCTATGCGCTCTAATGAGATTATAGACAAATCCTTCCAGGATAAAATTGTGCACGTATTGCGGATCACGTTAAAACCAGGTCATGTCTACCTTTACTATGACGATCAACAATACGCATTCGATCTAGATCTATCACGCGGGTATCTATCTGTAACATCCAGCTGTCACGCCTACATATTTATATGTGATGTTTCCAAAAAGTGACTTTAAGAAATGATAGCAGTACACGCTCCAGAGGCGGACAGTGAGGCATAACATGAGAGCACTAAGGATATTGTGTACGGTGTTGTTTTGGAGCGTAGCATAAGTAGATCAAAGTATACAAATATTATATGTAGCTTCGCTCTAAGTAGAAACTCTAAGCCCACCGCAGCGCAGCGGAGGTGGTCGTCCCTCTTTACACCAACAAACAATACCCTAGCGTCCGCGGAGCGGGCGCCCAGACCGCTAGTTTCCCGCTCCCTAACCTTGTAACCTGTCGGTCTGTCCGTCCGTCAGTCCGTCGCACCCCCCCCCCCTGTCTTCCTGCTTTTGCCTGCCTTTTCGCATGGCTACAGCCGGCCTGGCTAATACAGTTTCGTCCCATCTTACCGACCGCGCCTACCTTTCTGACTCGACCTAACTATGCTAAAATTACAAATGTATCCAAAAGCGTTACACAATTAACTCGCGCCCTGATTGGTCAATACCTGCTGACCTGCGACACTGACTGGATCTGTCGCACGATCAGACCGTCTCTCGCCCTGGACGTGATGTAAACATTTCTGCCGAGCACCAAACGCATCGATTGGTTGCAAACAGCTAGGCGAGCTGCGCAGATAAATAAATTATTGACATTCAGCTACGCAAAACCTATCGTATGTACTGCAAATCGGGCACAGTAACAAGCCCATGCAGTTAAAGCTCTGCGATGTTATTTTCCACACGTTTTTCAAAGTAGAGACGATATATTCATTTATTAGTATTATTATTACTAAAGGAGGCTTCACGACCTTTGCGTTATAATAGTTGCACCCCTGCATGCGCGAATGGTACTTACGTGGTGGTGCTGCTATTGCTGAAAAGTATGATTGTACAAAACTAATAATATCATTATTTAAGCGATTGCCAAAACTAAAATAAAACTTTTTTTGTGTAATAATGAGTACCGGCATTAAATGGCCGTGTATTGGCTAAATATTTTGACGTACTTTACTGGTTAAAATAATATCATGTTTACGATATAATAATACTATTTAATATTTTGCTAAATATTAAACACCCAGCAGTAAGTATCCGTTAAAATACCTAATATTTTTACGCACGTTAGTATTTATAAAATTCACAGTTTGCAACATGGCGAGGCCCACGTGCAAGGCCAATATTGGCCTGCAACTGCTGAATCCGCAGCGGTCTACGACGGATTCCCGGGCGCGCTGCGTCTGCTGCGGGAAGCTGCAGTACGGCTACGCATTCCGTACAATCAGCAGGCGGGACATCGTGCGGCGCTGTATTGTCTGCGAGAACTGCCCAAAAGCGGTTGAGTTTTGGGAGGAAAAGCCCCCACTTCCTGATTCGGCCGAAGTGCGCCGCCAAGAAAGCCTGTCAAACGTCAAGAAGGCGATGGGTCCTGACTGGTACCCCGAGAAGAAAAAGAGGCGTAGCCGCCCTCGCAAGCTGACCGCCCGAAACGCCAAGTACATCGAGGAAAAAAAGCAGCAGAAGAGCAAGTAATTGGTGAATATACCCTTTTAGGCCCCCATTTTCCTACCTATCTTTGTATTTAGTATACTGGTGACGGTACGAGGCTTGGAGCCGCACATACGGTAACTGACTATGGCGCTGCCAATAGTGTTGACGCATCTACAGAGGGTAGCGCGTTTCAAATAATAATTAGCGCATGGTGTCTACTGCGAACCCTTGCAAGCTGACCGTCCCTATCTGCTTCCGCGTAACAATAGATCGAGAGTACACTCGCTCACTTGGATACATGCAAACCATGCTATCTGTGACATCAGCGCTCACAGCGTATGTTCCATTAATGTGCGCTCACAAATTGAAACTACAGCATCGAGTGAGCACTACACGCGACGATTAAGTTGCTGTCTACATAGATACGAGCACGTGTGCGGTAGTGCAAACAATACCGGTGGGTGTGGAAGTCGAACTGTCTGTACGCAGTACTATACTTTAGTGCCCTGTCCATAATGGTCGAGATAAGAGCTCGGTTCAGTCGCGGGTAGCTATAAGGTGTACCCGCCGCGCGCGTAGATACTGCGTGTAATACAGGTGACAGACGCGCGGTCAGCTTACCAGTATCGCTGCAGTATGGTCTGTGCCCAGTTAGTGACCTGCTTGGTCATATAAACGAATACATCAGAAGCGTAAGCACAGTAAGCCAGCACGACGACGCAAAATGTACCGAGAAAGCGACAGTGATCCTATACATAGGTTTTAGATATCACGAGCGCGTGGTATACACACTCATTAACGACCTCGCAATATATGCACGAATATATCAAATAGCACGCCGAGTTGATAAGTAGGCATCAAACGTACTTCATATAATGTACATGAGCGACGATTCGAACCAAGTCTAAGATATCTACGATCTGATAATCTGCCTACACTTATGTGGCTTCGTATGTTCGTCATACATATCGGAGCCAGTAAATGTCTCTCGAAAGGGTCTACGCCACTCTATCAGTCAGAATCTATACAAATAAGTCAGTATGTGCGGCAGCTATGCAAGTAGAATCAATGCATGCAATACAAAGTGGAAACACCCTTCAGTAATATCATAAAGAGCTCAGCAGAACAATTGCAACGCATAATATTGGTGTTTGTCGCGACTATCGGCAAAATCTACCTGTCCTAAAAGATACTTCGCGCAAGAAGCTGACTAAACCTTTCTCTAATAGACCGTCGCAATCAATGATATGGTGTCGACTGCCTCACGGCGATGACGTGGCAGATGATATTATGTTTGAGTAGACGTATTTACTCCAGCTACACTGGGATTCCTCACCGGTCTATGCCAATGTGGATCATCACTGATACTGACATGTCTTCTGAACAGCATTTGTCAGCTTTGCAGCCACGGACGCGCCTCCGATTCGTGTCATTTTGGGGGCGATGCGCTCAAATGCGATTATAGACAAAACCTTCACGGGTAAGATGGTGCTCATCTTGCAGATCACGTTAAACCCTGGTCATATCTATCATAACATGTGAGCACTAAATATACTGTGTGCGGTGTTGTTTTGGAGCGTAATATAAGTAGAACACATTATACATGTACTATATGTTGCTTTGCTGCACGTAGAAACGCTAAGCACACCGCAGCGCAGCGAAGGTGGTCAGCCTGCACTACACCAACCAACCATGCCCTAGCGTCCGCGGAGCGGGCGCCCAGACCGCTAGTTTCCCGCTCCCTAACCTTGCAGCCTGTCCGTCCGTCTGTCAATAAGTCCG